AATAAATAAATAAATAAATAAATAAATAAATAAATAAATAAATAAATAAATAAATAAATAAATGGCAGCCTGGATTCTCTCAGCCTGTGGCAGCTAAAGTAGGGAGAGGAAGGAGGCGGAGGATAGGCTGTGGGGATGGGTAGGCAGAATGGGAAAGCCATAGGAAGAGAGGGAAGGCTTGTTTTCCCTCTCTTTGTATGGGGGACAAATAAAAATGGGGGAATATTTGTCCCTTCATATTCGTCGAGGTCTCTGGAACCCATGAATATGAAGGGATAAATATTTAACAAATCAGTGATTTCTGACGAATATCGTGATCCTTTTTTTTATTTGCCCCCATGTCTGGTGGGAACCATACACACCTATCCTTGGGCTTTACACCTGCTCCTCTGCCCCAATTCCCATTTTTTAAATCTTTGCACAAAAATGGAGAGGTGTGTTACTGAAAAGAGCTCCCACACAACCATTATGAGTCAAACTTGTGAAAGGAAACGTTTTAAAAATGTGCAAGTTTGGAGGGGATGCTGCTCCCTCTGGAATGACCAAAATGTTTCATATGACTTTTTTCACTAACAAAAAGGTTTTTTTTAATTAATTTGGTGGGTTGCTTTTGGGAAGTGCTAGGGGCCACATTTGGACTCTTGCATGTGACCCACAGATCACATGTTGCCCTTCTAAGAAAGTTGTGTGAAATCATAGTTCAACACTGGGAAGCATGAAATGCTTTTGCTATGGCAATCAGGTATTCCAAACACTTAAGGAACTACCTCCTCTAATGATGGGTCGTCTGCACAGTAGAATTTGGTCCAAAGTCCCAAGAACGTAGAATATAGGTTATATTCTTACAAATGATCTGATCTATTTCAGAAACACATGGCCTTCTTCAGGGGGAAACCATGTAGAAATTAGCCTCCAGAGTTTTCGGGGAAATCCATTATGTATTGTTGTTGTTTAGTCGTTCAGTCGTGTCTGACTCTTCGTGACCCCATGGACCAGAGCACGCCAGGCCCTCCTGTCTTCCACTGCCTCCCGGAGTTGGGTCAAATTCATGTTGGTCGCTTCGGTGACACTGTACATCCATCTTGTCCTCTGTTGTCCCCTTCTCCTTACCAATCTGGTGAGGAAAACTTATACCTTTTTAAAATAAATGATTTTAAATATTTTTATCCTGCCTTTCTCCCTAAAAAGGATCCAAAGTTGCTTACATCATTGAAATCCAATTTAAAAGCTGAAAAGAAGGAGTATAAAGAGGGAGCCTACATCATTAAAATACAATATTACAGCTAAAACAATAAGCATGCAATTATTAGAAAGGAGCAAACATCATTCTGAGAGATGGTAAACACATGTAGTCCTAAAGACCCAGTCAGAGCAGTAACGCTCTGTCATTCTGTCATGGGCATGGAGGATCCAGCCACCGTACTAGAAATAAAAGTTAAGAAAATGTGTGGAAAAGTTATGTTTTGGGGGCACTGTAACACCCAGAATTCCTCATCCTTGTTAGTTAGGAGCCCCTGGGAGTTGTAGTGCTAGGAAATACCATTTCTTAGGGAGCTCTTAAAAAGCAGAGACATCACCTTGCCAACAAAAGTCTGAATAGTCAAAGCTATGGTTTTTCCTGTAGTGTTGTATGGAAGTGAGAGCTGGACCATAAAGAAAGCTGACCGCCGAAGAATTGATGCTTTTGAATTGTTGTGCTGGAGGAGATTCTTGAGAGTCCCCTGGACTGCAAGGAGAACAAACCTATCCCATTCTGAAGGAAATCAACCCCGAGTGCTCATTGGAAGGACAGATCCTGAAGCTGAGGCTCCAGTACTTTGGCCATCTCATGAGAAGTGAGGACTCCTTGGAAAAAACCTTGATGTTGGGAGGGTGTGATGGCAAGAGGAGAAGGGGACGACCGAGGATGAGATGGCTGAACAGTCTCTGCGAAGCTACCAACATGAACCTGACACAACTCCGGGAGGCAGT